GCTTTTATTTGGCTTGAGCTTGTTACCAAGTTGCAAAGGGATTGTCTAGGAAGTGTTGGTAAAAATGTCTTAATCAACAATTTGAATATTAAATTTATTTTATTATATTAATCCAAACAATAAATTTAAAAATATATGTATTTAAAATTATATATATTTTAAATACATCTATTTAATATACATTCCTCAAATACAAATTTAGCTTCCCAAACATAACCTCTGGCACAACCTTAATAAATTGTTGAAACCAATATTTGAAAACCGTCCGACTATAATAGGATTTTCATTTTCCTTATACAAAATTTAAAGTTGCAATATAATTTATTTTATTATTAAGACAATTAATTATATAAGCATTTAAGCAATATAATAAATTATTTCTATTGTAAATGATTATATATTTTGAAAACAAATCTTTTAAGATATTCTTCTAAAAATGATTTTTTAAAATAAATAATTAATTATATCTCGTATATAAGTGTTTACGTACCTTTCAACTAGAAAAAATATTCTGGATGAAAGTGATGACTAACAACTCACAGCTTCCTAATATATTATTCTTGAATTCTTGGGCAACCAAATAGATGTTATAGGTTTTAATTAAAAAAAAATTGTAAACCGATTGCAACGCTGATCGGTTGCAAATCCATCATTTATTTTTTCAAAAAAGTTTGCAACACCAGTTGGGTACAAATTCATTACTTTCAAAAATTAAATTTGTGTAGTAACTTATCAGTTACAAATCCGACTTTTTTGAACCAGCTATATTATATATATTTAGCCATTTTAACGTTTTAAAATAACATGCTAAAAGTTCTACTGTTCAGCTATTCCAAAATAAATTCATGGCCGCTTCGTCAAAACGTTTTAAGCTTGCTAACAGTTCTACTATTCAGCTATTCAAAATAAATTCATATTATTAGGTTACATTAACCGCAAGTCCTATAAATAAGCAGTTTCCATTTCTACCAATAGACTGACACAAGTTTTCACAGTCTGCACTTTTATTCCACAAACATAGTATTTAAACTTTCATCACAAGAAAAAGGTGGTGGAATAGAACTTTTTTTTACAAAAGTGTAGTACTTGTAAAGATACAACAAGAAAAGGTTGGGTTGTTGTATTTTGGAGGTAGCGTGACTATAAAAAACTACTGCATCAATGACATGAAACGTTTTAAAAAAAGTGATTGATCAACATCTCAACTGAAACTCCTCATAGTTTCAAGGACATCATTCTACTTTTCATCTTTAATTAATTGTTTTTACTAATATTTTTTCTACTTTATTTTTCCTAATTATTTTATGAGGAACAATAATTTTAGGACGTTTCAAAAAATTGTTTTTAAAAAATGAGTTTTCCTTGTGAAAAACCTATTAAGTTCACTAATGATCTTAACATGCCTTTTCATTTTAATGATGTGCATTTCAAAGGATGGAAAGGAAAAGTTTTGTACCATCTTAACTTGTTCAACTTAGCATATGTCCTCAATGAGGAAAATCCTATTAATAAGTCAACTAAAAATCTGAGTACTGAGGAAAAGAAATCTCAAAAGAAGAAAGTTCAAAAGTGGGAGAAAGATGAATATGGTTGCCACAACTCTTTATTTAATTGCCTTTCTAATGAGCTTTATGATTACTATGAAAGAACTTAGTTCATTACCAAGGAAACTCGAGATGCTTTGCAAAAAAAATATGACACTGAAGAGGCTGGTGCGAAGACATATGTTGGTAGCCGATGGTTGTGCTTCCAAATGGTGGATGACAAGTTGGTGGTGTCCCCAATTCGAGAGTTACAAATGCTTACTCATGAGTTCAAATCAGAAGGCATACAAATTGGTGACAATCTTGAAGTTATAGCCACTATTGACAAAATATCACCTTCATGGAAAGAGTTCCAAAAGATGATGGGTCACAAGTAAAAGGAGATCCCCATAGAAAATCTTTTAACTCGTATTTGAGTTGAAGAGGAGGTAAGGAATCAAGATGCTCAAACTACAAATGGAGGTAACACATCAAAGGTAAACTTTGTTGCCACTAATGATAGCTTTCCCAAAAATAATAACTTTAAATATAATGCCCAATTGAGATCTAAAAAGAAAATTGTGAAAAAGAATTATGGGAAACATTCTACTAAGAGACCAAGTCAAAATTTTAAGAACCAAAGACCGCCTTCAAAACAAAATAACAATGCATGTTTTGTGTGTGGAAAGCTTGGGCGTACTGGTTGAGTTTGTAAATTCTGAAAGGATGGGCCTACTCCACAAGTCAACATAATTGAGGAGCCCTTTGTGGCGATGTTATCTAAAATAAACATGCTTAATTGTGATTAAGGATGGTGGATTGATTCTAGTGTTATAAGGCATGTCTGTAAACACAGATATTGGTTCAAAACATTTTCTTAACATGATGTTGAAAAAGAAGTGAGACTTAGTGATGGTCATACAATCAAGGTTCTTGGGCAAGAAGAGGTGGAATTGAATTTTAACCTTGGAAAAACATTGACTCACAAAGATATGCTTTACACTCCTCAAATGGGGGAAAATTTACTTTCTGGATTTCTTCTTGGTAAGGCTAACTTCAAAGAGGTTATGAATCTGGGGGGTGTTATGTTTTGACTAAAAATGGTATATTTGTTGGGAAAAGCTATGCATGTGATGGCATGTACAAGTTGAATATTGATATGAATAAAGTTCCTTCAAGTTCTATTTATATGATCTCTAATACTGTTTGGCATGCTCGTTTATGTCATATTAGTAATAAATATATAAAAAATATGGGTAATTTTGGATTTATACCCAAAGTAAATAATGATTTTGAAAAATATGAATCTTGTAGTTTGACTAAAATCACTAAAAAAAACCTTTCAAAAGTGTTGAAAAAAAAAAACTAATTTTTTGGAATTAATTCATAATGATATATGTGAATTTGAGGGAGTTTTGTCACATGGAGGTCATAGCTATTTTGTTACTTTCATTGATGATTTTTCAAAATACACATATATTTATTTGATTAAGCATAAATGTGATGCCTTTGAAAAATTTCAAATATTTTTAAATGAGGTTGAAAATCAATTTGAAATGAAAATTAAAAGGTTTAAAAGTGATAGAGGCGGTGAATGTGATTCAAATGATTTTAACAAATTGATACAATCTTTGGGTATTATTCATGAGACTATTCCTCCATATTCACCTTCTTCTAATGGTGTAACTGAACCTAAAAATCGTACTTTAATTGATTTGACTAATGTTATGCTTGTTAGTTCAAGTGCATCATCTAATTTGTGGGGTTAAATTGTTTCAACTGCATGTTATATTTTGAATCATATTCATAATAAGAAGACTAACTTGACTTCTTTTGAGTTGTTGAAAGGCTATAAGCCAAATCTTAAGTATCTCAAAACTTGGGGATGCTTGGCTCATGTAACATTAATAGATCCAAAGAGACCAAAGTGACATGTGTATTTATTGGATACACAACTACAAGTAAGGCATATAGATTCCTTGATCTCGATTCTAATGTTCCTATTGAATCTGTAGATGCTATATTTCATGAAGATAAATTTCCTTTTATACTTAAGAACATGAAAGTCATGGTTTTCAAAGCAAAATGATTATGAACCTAGTTCATCAATTTCATCTCATTTTCAAAACCAAGGGGACATAAATTTTGAACCTAGAAGAAGTAAAAGAACATGTAAAGAAAGAGATTTTGGTTCAGATTATTATGTATATAATGTAGATGGAGAACCATTGTCTTTTCAAGAAGCTTTAGCTTCTTATGACTTTGATTTTTGGAAGGAAGCTATTAATGATGAAATGGATTCTTTGATTTCTTATAAAACTTGGAAGTTGGAAGATTTGCCTCTGGTTGTAAAACAACAGGATGTAAATGGATTTTGAGAAAAAAACTTAAACCGGATGGAACTATAGATAAATATAACGCCAGACTTGTTGCAAAATATTTCAAACAAAAAGAGGAACTAGACTTGTTTGACACATTTTCGCCAATAACAAGAGTGACTTCCATTAGAGTACTTATAGTTGTAGCAGTTGTTCACAATAAACTCATCCATCAAATGAATGTTAAAATGGCATTTTTAAATGGAGACT